CCGAGGGGAGCGGCCCCTCCTCGCCGCGCCTCTCTCGCCGCCTCTCCGGAGTTTTCGGGGTGCACCTCCAGGGCCGGCCGCCTAAACTTGTCACCAGTTTCATAACCCACTGTTAAAAATTGCCTCCGGCGAGCTGCGCGCCGCGCTTGTGCCGCTGCCCCTCCGCAGCGGGCGGCTCCCCCCGGCCTTCGGTGCTGGCTCGTAGCCCCTCTGGGCCCTCGGCCCCCTGGCCAGGCCTGTGGGACCGGCTGCAACTCCTTGGGTATTATGGGACACGTTATGTAGTGTTTTCAGTTGAAAAGCGGTAGGGTTGATACGCTCATTAACGCATTAAGTGACTGATAGTGATCTTGTGGTTAAAGAACTTGTGAACTGCTGGCCTAGAGCCATTACTATCAGGTACTTCAGGGATGGGCACGTTACCTTAACTCTAGTAACAGTCGGTAATGCAACCTTCGTTGTTGTTCCTCTTTGGCTTTGTTTACAAGAAAATCTCTGTTGTAAACGTTAACGCTGTCCACGCTACCAGCAGCCCGCTGTTTGGTTCTCAGCTGGCCATGTTTGAGACTGAAAAGTGTCTACTCGGCTTCCTTTTTAGGTCTCCTTTCTTTGTCTCTTGCTTCCTCTCCATCTCTTTTCTTTCTATGTCTTTCCTTTAAAGTACCATCTTTGTCAAGAGAGTCTTGAGCCTGTTTAGCTATGTGAGCCACTTCTGGGTTTTGGTTTTGTTGGTTTTTTTTTTTAATTAGTAGGAAAGTAATCTTTTTAATTGTACTTTCTATGGTAACACCAAACAACCGCTCTGGGAAGAGTGGCAGATGTGACGTTCTTCGCTGAGGGTTCCCGTGTAGGAATTTAAAGGAAGTGGTCATGAGGACAAAAGAGTAATTTTTATTTTAACTTCAATGATTCAATGAAAAATTCGTTCCTAACAGAATCATGTTTCTGTTCACTGCATCCAGTAAATACTATGTAGAAAGTAACTGGCTTAGCTATGTATAAGAGCAACATCCCATGTTGCATATCCAATGGAGTCTCATAAATATCTTGACATTTTTTCATAGCTGATACAGATCTCAAAAATTGCTTTGGAGAAAAAAATCTGTTTTATAGGACCTAAGAAATTCTGCCAGTGCGTTAATAGTAATAACACTCTGCATATTTATAGTGCCCTTCAACAGAGGCTAGCATGCCATTCCTCCTCCCCCAGGTATCCCTCAAAAGCTTGGTAAGTGTTATGGATGAGACAGGAGAAAAGTAGTAGGGTATTTAAACTATTTGTCGAAGTCATGTATTATCAGTGGCAGAACTGGGAATATAACCCGATTACAAGTTTTTTGCTTGAATGCCTTTGGCTCTTGCCAAAACGTTTCAATAAAGTTATAATTAGCTGTGACTGGCATTGCCAGGAGCGGTAACAGCATTTATCTGCTGCGGAGTCATGTTCAGAAAGGTGCAAAATTCTTGGCTGTCTCTATGGACATCAGGCGTTACGTCTGCTGTGACCATTTGCAGTTGAATGTTCTTTGATCTGTGTGAGAGGTTTGTGTTAGGGGTTCAGCAACTACAGGATGGCTTTTAGAAATTGTACATGTACAGCTGAAGGATGAGCAGTGTTAATTAAAAACCGGTTCTGTGCTCCTTCTGAAGCCTTTTGTTGGCCTATATATTTGGAAATGTTTAATAGAATAATGGAAATTTGAGGTTGGGCAGTTTCTCCCTCTTGAGATAAAGGTGCAGTGCTCCTGATTGTACTTTACTAGTTTTCTATCCAGTGTAAATTTCAGTGTTAGATGATCTACTCTCTTGAGAGGCTGTGTGGCAGAGGACCTGTTTTGTATGGTCTTCTTAGTATCCCATAAATTCTTTCTGCAATTCATCTTGTTTCTTAGAGGTAGGCTTTTTTATCTCCAGTTTCTTACCTGCCATGATATTTAAATACTTTAGATACTTTATGCCACAGTATTACCGTGCTTGGCTTCTGCTCTGTAGTTGTTGGTTAGTTAAGCTATACCCTCTCTCCAAAAAACAACTTGTAAGTCAGTCCCGCTGTGATTTCCTATCTTCCTTTTCTTCCCCTCTGGGCTTCTTTTTATTTTCTCTTTTTCTTTTCCTTGTAATTAATTGTGTGGAACTAAATGTGATATTCGGGTAGAGTACCTTTCTGTTGCATTATGTGATGCTTCTTCGGGTGACACACACCCAGGTTTATAACATATGTGAATTGGCAGCCAGGCAGCTTGCTCTCTGTTCTTAGTTACTGGTCTCGTACTGCCTTTCCAAGGTTTTTCTTCCTATCGAGTGCTTATATTTTGCTTTCCCTGGCAAATATTCATGTTTACTCTGATTTTCTAATTATTTTTCTTGAACCTTTTGAAATTATTGTTGCCTCTATTATATAATCTTCCTCATTCAGGGTGAAAGAGGACTTCAATATTTATATCTATGCAAGTATCATTAATAAGCTGTGTATTTCAAATAAGAATGAAAACAGATTCATACAGGGTTCCCCTAGATGCTTGTCTGCTAATTACATATTTCACTTTTAATGCTTGCTTTCTGTTTATGGTACTTTGACGTCTGCAGATTGAAAAATTATCCTAAGAATAAACTTTCATGATGCCCTTTGAAGTAATTCATTAGAATAAATACTAACGTTATTAATCCTCATTTTAGTATTCACAAACTGTGTTTTATAGCATTTTACATCTTTACGTATTATCATTTATTTTCATATCTTTTCAGAAATGAGTAGTTTTCCTTTTCTTTGGTTCTAGCAGCTGCTTGGGAGAGTTGACAAGAAAGGGTTTCCTGTTCTGCAAAAGTTTTAAACTTTTTTTTTTTTCATTCTGCATTTTTCTGGACTGTGTTTCCAAGGCATTTCAAAGTTGTCATTATGTATTGGACAAGCCCATCCCAAAATAGCC